AAATAATGTAGTTATCTTGTTACATATTAATATATACTAATGAATTATTTTTGTTTTTTAAAAGAATATTGAATGTGGATTTTGCATAATGTCACAATAACATTTAACATGATCAACGTTTTTATTTTTTTATATTATGTATTATTACGGATTATCTTATGTTTGATTTATAATTCATTTTTTATATTTATCATATGTATTTTTAATACAGATTATCCAACCTCTTATAAATAATAATTTAGTCAACAGTATTGTCAGTACATAATATATTAATGTTTTTGAAAAAGAGCATTGAATGTGAATTTCCATATAATACCACAATGACGTTTAACATTACATCTGATTTATAATTCATTTTATAAATAATAATTCAACCAACAATATTGTTAGAGTTATCTTGGCAATGATACTATTGATTCATCATTTCTTTTGTTAATTAATAATTAAGAGATTGTTTGAATTATTTTCATGTAATCATAATATATCCTTGATTTACTGATTTGGCATTTGAAAGTAATATATAAATAAGTTGTAACATTTTAATAAATTAAAAAAAATAAAATTTTTTCTCATTTATCATACTATGGGTGATAATACTGAATATTACGAACTAGATTCTGATATTGATACCATTCTTGATACATCAGAGACTATTGAGGAAGTTGTTGAGGAAGTTGTTGAGGAAGTTGTTGAGACACCTGAGAAAAAATTTCAAGTAAATTTTCAGCATCAACATAATTTTAAATCCAAAAAAAAAAAACTTTTGTTTGGAGTTATTTCCAAGAAGAAAATGGGAATGATGTATGCAAAATACTTATCTCAGTTAATGGTAAGGAAACCACATGTGGTAAGAGTTACAAACATGATGGTTCAACTGGTAATATGAAACAACACCTTCAAATGAAACATGGAATATTGGAATTGGAGGAACTCCATACTGGTTTAGAAAAATATGTTCAACCAAAAATTGATAATATTTTCAAAAAAGTTATTCCACATAGTTCATCCAAGCAAAAAGAATTGAAAAAAATTACAGCTGAGTGGTTGATCACTGATTCATTACCTTTTAACGTTGTAAATAAAAAAGGATATTTAAAAATGATGAAAACAATTGATCCTGCTTTCAACCCACCTTCCAGTAAAAGCATAAAAAGTAGTCTTGCTGTTGCATATAACAAAGGCGTTTTACAATTAAAGGAATTGCTTTCAAGAACCTGTGAAACTGCTTCTATAACAACTGACTTATGGACATCTCAAAGTAATGATGGATATATTGGTGTGACTCTTCATTGGTTATCACCAGATTTTGAAGTATATGATGCAATATTGGCAGTTGAAAAAATAGAATATCCACATACAGGTGAACATATTAAAGAATACCTAAATGCAAAAGTTGAAGAATTTGAATTATCTGGTAAAATAGTTTGTGCAATTACTGATAATGGTAAGAATATGAAAAAAGCAATTAGAATTTGGGATGATGTAGAACATATATCATGTTCTGCACATACTCTTCAACTTACAGTTTTTCATACCTTGAAGTATATTAAACCATATACAAAAAGAATCAGAAAGCTTGTCAAGTTTTTCAAATCTTCAAAACAAAGTCAACAACTAGACCAAGCACAAATTGACTTAGCTCAATGAAATAATGTTACTGCTGCACCTGTTCAGTTGCATGGTTCTGAAAATTTAATTGAATTAGAAATGGAAGAAAATAATAAGTCAGAAAATGTAGACATGGAATTTAAAGTCCTACATACTATAAATGAAGTAAAAACAAGATGGAATTCATCTTTTTTATCTTGGCAAAGGCTTCTTAAATTACGCACAGCAATTGAATGGCTTTCCTCGACTTTACATTTACTAGAAGATGCTGGTGCAAAGGAAGATTCTTGAAAACTAAATAATTATAAACTCAATGAAAATGAATGGGAATTATTAGAAGGATTAGTTATGTTGTTTAAGCCTAACAACTTACTTCAGTGGAATTAAATACACTACTCTTTCAGTTGTTAATCCAAGTATAGAGACATTAAAATTTGAGTTTACTGATGGTGATTTGTTGAACTCACATGAGCTGAACAAAATATTTAATGATAATGAAACTGAAAATCTTGGTTTTGATGAAGGTAATTATTTTTCAATTAAACCTTTTTTTCTTAATTAAAAATTAATTTTTACCTTTTTCATATTTTAGATGAAATTTCATCTGATGATGAAAGCTCTGGAGATGACTCAAGAAACATAAAACAATTAAAAGCTCCATCTTCTCAACAAATAATTTCTAAAGTTAAGGGAATCATTTATAGCTTGCTCTGGAATTATTGGAGTGATTCAGAAAAGATTGGGCTAATGGCTACTTTATTAGACCCAAGATTGAAATTAATGGAAGTATGGTCAAATGAAACAAGAGAACAAACAATCAAAGAACTATGTACTGAATTCAATACTTGGCAAATCAAAGTTGCAAATGATGATTCTTTAGAAGAAATCCCTTCTTCATCCACACCTTCCTTTATGAAAAAAGTATTTTGTCATAGCCAAAGAAAAGTGAACCATGAGATTGAAATAGATAATTATTTAAACAAAATGATAACTCCAACACAACCTGAAAGAATTGATGTTTATCAATGGTGGAATAACAATCGAAATTCTTTTCCTATTCTTAGTAGAATTGCATGCAAATATTTATCAATACCCGCCACTTCTGTTCCATGTGAATGTCTTTTTTCTGATGCAAGGAATTTAGTTACCTCTAAAAGAACATGTTTAGGACATGAAGTAGTAAATCGGTTATTATTTGTAAAGAGAAATAGTTTATATTGTAAAGTTTGGAATTAATAAAAAGAATAAAATTATTTTTTATCATTTATGTAAATTAAATCCATATATAGAAAGATTTGTTCACTACCCGGTTGACCCGTCAGGTAGACCTGTGGGCCACCCAGGTGAAGTTTTTTAGACGGGTCCAATCTCTAAGGATGTTACCTCAATTATTGATAACCCAGGGTCTATTCTGGATAGTTATTGCATCCTTATTTAACACATCACCCTAAGGTTGCTTGTCAAAACTCCTCCAGAAATCAATCAGCAGGGTTTTGGTAGGTTACACATTAATTGTTTATTAGAGTATTGGCAGAGTTTTGCATTTTGAGGTTTCACCACTTTAGCATAGTTTCAACAGGATTTTTGATAAGATTTAATATAGTTTTGCCATGGTTTCAGCAATTACTAAGGAGGTTTCACCCACAACCTTACATCACCCCCATAATTGGGGCAAAAGTCATACACATTTAAACAAACATACTGTGAGATTGCCTGGTTAATATGACTGATTGGAACAAACTTAGAACAGTAGTCATGTGATGCACTAAACATTACATCATGATCAATAATCGTCTTTCTATATTTATTGTAATGGTTGCGCCGCATGTCATGTAATGTTATACTGTAGATCTTCATATTTATATTCCTACTTATGTATTATTTATTGTATTACTCATTTGACCTAAATATTTACTTAGAGATAGCATAGATAAAAAATCTAATCATTGGTCAAGTGAAATTAACCAATGAAAATCATGCACGCAACATTTCAATTTTTTATTAAATTTATTTATTTTGAAATAATAATTCATTTATTTTATTATTTGTCTAAATTCAAAGAAAATTTCTTCTAAAAAATTTCCTTCTTTCATCAGGACTAATTAGATCGACAAAGGGATTGATTTCACAGCTTATTTTCACCAAAATCCAATTATATTGGTATACTTAACAACATATAATATAGAATTTATATAATATATATCTTGATTACCACATACTATACAAGGGCCAAAATTTTTTCAGCTTACACCTTTATTCATTTTATTACAATATTAATGATAAATGACAGTTAGAAATGTTATTTATTTACTATTGCTTGAATTATCTATATATTAGTTTTATTTTTTATGTTATGCACATCAAGTTAAAATGTAGGTCATCACAAATTTGGATGTTATGACAAATTTAGAGCAACTTTGTTATTAATAAAAATAAAAATCTGATCACACTCAGAAAAGGTTATTTCTTGCTCAGAAAAGAACCAAAATAATAGAAAATTTGTGCAAAGTTTGAGGCAGTGTTATATAGTTAGTGGCACTTGACTTTTCTAAGTGGTACTTTTTTGATTTTACAATACTCTTTATGTATAAATTGTAGATCTTTTTTTATTAAATGCATGTAATGCTGATCTATCCATAAAAAGATTTTTAACTATGCTCTTAGAGATAGTAATCTACTTTGCTTGGTGAGTAAGGTTTCTGATCCAAACTGTTTTCTCAAAGCCCAAACTAGTTTGGGCAATTTGGGCTTCTCAACATTTTTTATAAGCATGAACATTAAAAAACTATATGAATCAATTTGTTTTAACTTAAACAACTTTAAAATAATTTTGCCCAATTTCGGCTAATAACAAAAAGTAGTTTGGGCTTATAAAAAAATAAATTTTGCCCAAAGTATCTGGGTAATTTTGGCTACTAATAGAAGCAGTTTCGGCCAGAAACCTTATTGGTGAGTTGTACATACAATATTGGATAAAATATTGTAAAACTCATGTTATTTGTAATACCCTAAGAGGTATAAATACACTTGTAATAACATATAACAACTGAATAATTATTATTACTATTTCCCACCCCCCTTTTGTTAATAATTAAATAAACACATTTTATCTTATTGCGAATTTTGCATAGTTAAGAGGAATAGTTGCTGTGAATTGTTCTATGATACTCTCTGATGATCAGTTGTCTGGCCAACCTTTAATCATTAGTTAGGAAACCCTCATTTGATTTTTCTATGTTGCTTTTAGGGCACCTCAAGTGGTATAGTTGTAAATATTTCTTGTATATATTCTTTTTTTTTTTATTATTATCTTAGGCTAGTGCCAGCATTACTTAGCATTAGTACTATAGAAGAGGATTGCACAATAGATTTACTTTTGACAGCTCCTGAGCTGTGTGCAAGATAGTTGCAATCCAACAAAATGACTGTAAAGGTGGTTGCAATCATTTTTATATGATTCAAATATGTTAGCAACTATCATCAAAAGTTACAGTTGGCATCCTTAGTGCAAGATGGAGTTTGAGAACCCTTAGCTGTGTGCAAACATATATATTATTGGGCTTTTATACTTATTTTATCTTATATATTTATTGGGCTGTATTTAAAATTACATGCTTGCAATACATATTAATAATAAATCAAGATCATTGATCAAAAAAAACCAAAAATTAAAAAAAGTATTAAAACAATACACAATTGAAAATTGCCTAAATTGTGGGTGAAACTCCTAAACCATGGGTGAAACTTTTAAATTATTGATGAAACTTTTAAACTGTGGTTAAATTGTCAAACCTATGAGCAAAGTTTTATATTGTGACAAATAAAATGGATTTATTGAAGTGCTGTCCAATTGTATGTCAGACATGTGACTTGTATAGTCACCTTCGTTTAATATTTTATATTTGTTCCTTTTTATTATTATTTTTAAAAGAAAAATCATGATTATTGTAAAATTGATGTCACCTCTTGACTAATTCGTTTTGTAATAATAATAAACATTTTATAATTTAATATAAAATGAATTTATTTTTTTTTGTAATGTATGAACTCTTCAAGTCCCATATATACAAACATTATAAAAATTTATATTTGTTTTATTCATTATTATTATTATTAATTTTACCATTAGATTTTTTTATTATTATATTATTTAATATTTAAAACTAAAAAAAAAAAAATACATAAAAGTGTGAAATTGCAAAATGAGTCATTTGGCCAACTTTATGTTGGATCATATATGTATGTAAACTTGTTCTAGCTTATTGTTGTTTTTGTTGATGTTTTTCTTTCGACAATTCATATAATTCATTAAATTCTCCACTATTTTCACACATACTTCTAAATGCAGAGTTAGGATTTTGTAATAATAAATATGGAGAATCAAATTCCATTATGTTTCCTGCATCTATTTTTTAAGGAGAGGAGGGGAACAATATAGGTATGTGTAAGTACACATCTAATAAATATATATGTGAGAAGCAAAAAACATTGATAAAAAGAGATATTGATATTTACCCATAACCAAAATTTTATCAAAATCAATAACAGTTCTTAATCTATGAGCAATAGTTAAAATAGTACTATCTTTAAATTCTTCTCTTATGGTGGTTTGTATGAGATGATCAGTTCTAAAATCTACACTTGCAGTTGCTTCATCCATTATAATTACTTTTGATTGTCTAATTAAAGCTCTTGCTAATGCTATCAATTGTTGTTGTCCTTGTGAAAAATTAGAACCACCTTCTTGTACTGGTGTATCCAATTTTAACTCTTGTTTATTATTATTATTGTCTTTTGTTGGCACATTTACTGTTTTTATATCTACTACTTTTTCTGGAACCATTGTTGTTGTTACTGCTTCAGATTTTGTCATTGAATCTGGTTCATCATCTATAACAACACCTGATGGTTTTTCATTTTCTAAATTTGGTGATGATAAATCCTCTTGAATTAAATGTGCTCTTTTTAATGCATTCCATAATGTTAAATCTTCATGCTCATTAAATGGATCTAAATTACTCCTATATATAATAAATATAAATACACACACACATATATAAGCATATTGAACATAAGTGTGTGTGAATTAATAAAATTAAATTTAATATTATTTATTTCTTCACCTTAAAGTACCAGTAAATATTACAGGATCTTGTGGTATTATAGTTATTTTACTTCTTAAATCTTTCAATCCAATAGTAGAAATATCTATACCATCAAGTTCTATTTTACCTGACGTAGGTTCAATAAATCTAAAGAATGATGTAGCAAGTGTTGATTTTCCACAACCTTTATTTAAAAATTATTTTTTAGAAGAAAATGTTATTATTGGTATATATATATATATATATAAGTTAAATTTTTTTTGTTATAATATTATATACCTGTTCTGCCAACAATTCCAACTCTTTCGGTTGGTTTAACTTTGAATGAAATACTTTTTAATACAGGTGGATTATCTGGTCCATATTGAACGACCAAATCTTTTACTTCGATTTGCCCTTTATCAGGCCATTCTGAAGGTGGTCTATGATCAGGGATTGTTGGTTCAGCTTCTACTTCTAAATCATTTGAATAATAAACTAATCTTTCTACTGCGTTCATATTGGCCTCCTATTAAAATTAAATTATTTTAATAACCTTTCAAGAAGAGGAACAATAATAAGAAAGAAGATTATATATATGCACACACTTAAATACTTACAACTTCTGAAGCTTGTCTAACACACCAATTGAGTGTACCACTTATTTGTAATGCGTAACTTAATACTAAACCTGTTATTGCAGGATCAGTAGAATGTCTCTGTATGATAGCAAATAAACTTGCAAAAAAGATTAAAACATTTGCTATTCCCTCCAATCTAAGACCTAACCATCTTTGTACTGTTATTGTTAAGAAATATGCTCTGTTTTCTATATCTGTATATTTTTCATTTGTTCTGTAAATTTTTAATCAAGAATAAAAAAACATTTCTTGTCAATAAATTTGTTAAGACTAGTATAACTATAAACTTATGATAATACCTTATAAATCTTTCTTGTACTCTATATGCACGAATAGTTGGTAAGCCAGTAAGTGTTTCAGAAAAATGCGCATATAATGATGAACGTAATATTGAATCAAGACCTATTAATAATAAATAATTAAAGAAATTTAATTACAAAAAAGTTTAAATTATAAATTATAAATTATTTAAAAAAATTTACGTTTTAATTCACGATTTGTAGCTCTATAATATAAAGCAAAAAGATAATAAAGTATAACTAGCGGTACTAGAGGAATCAGAAACCATACAAATACAATTGATATCAATATAAACGTTCCAATCACGACTGAAAATGTAGACAACATCATCCTATAAGCATCTGGTAATATACTATCAACTGTATCCATATCTTTACTGAATCTATATAAATAAATTGATAATAATAAATAGAAATTAGTTTATAAAATAATAATAAATTCATCTGAAAATAAAATAAAATAACTCCATCCATTAATGATCGTTACATTACCTGTTAATTATTCTACCTAATGGTGTTGTATCAAAGAATTTTGTTGGAGCTCTTAATATTCTTTTAAGTGCACTATTATGTAATCTTTTTGCTGCCACAGCACCAGAAATCGCAAAACTAACCCCCATCACTAAGCCAAAAAATCCTGTTGATATACCCCATGCAAAGTACACACCCATCTAAATCAATCAATACCGATAAAAAAAAATTTAGCATATATATCTTAAAATGACAGATAAATTATTATTATAATAACAATAATAATATAAAAACTTACATATACAGATGTTGAAATATTAAATGTTTGACTGGTCCAAAATGACAACCATAAATTATTACTAATGAAACGATTGAATTTTTATTTTGTTAGTGTGATTATAAATTTAATTCATATTTAATTCGTATATTTATTTCATTTTTAATTAATTACCCAATGTTTGTTCCTTGTTGCAGAATCAATAATAAAATAATAAAAGGTACTAATATAATACCACCGGAAGCCTGAAGATAAGAAACGTATATAGCGTAATCGACAGTTCCTGTTGATCTTTCCTCTGTTGACATCAAACCTTTAGAAAGAGATAATTTTTTAGGTTTTGTTTCAGCATCACCATCAACATCAGCATCACTATCAAAGATTTCAGGAGTATCATCAACCTTTTCTTCCTCATCAGCTTCACCATATTCTTCTATTAATTGAGCAAAATTTTTGCTAGCCTTCATCAATTCATCGTAAGTACCTTGTTCAACAATTTCTCCATCTTTCATAACAATAACATAATCAACATTTGTTAGAATGTGTAAATGATGTGTAACCAATATACGTGTTTTATTTGTCAATGCGCCCTGAATACAATTAGCAAATAAAGATTTTCCAACGTGAGCATCAACAGCCGACAAAGGATCATCCAATAATATGATATCAGCATCAAAATAAACAGCTCTTGCTATATTGATTCGTTGCTTTTGACCACCTGATAAATTTATACCCTTTTCACCAATTTCAGTTAAATCACCCGCAGGCAAAATTTCTATATCAGGTTCAAGACAACAATCCTTTATAACCCTTCTATATTTTTCTTCATTAAATGGTAAGCCAAATGTTATATTATCTCTTAGTGTGGCATTTTGTATCCATGCAGTTTGTGGACAATACCCGACACTACCGGAAAATTCTGTTTCACCTTTAACCTTTTTCATTTCACCAACCAATGCTGATAATAATGAAGATTTACCAGATCCAACAGATCCAACTACTCCAACTAATTTACCTTTAGCTATATTTAAATTAATGTTACGTAAATGAGATTTTGGTATTAAGGGTTTGAGTGTTTGATCAATATTATTTGATGTGCCATCGTCATTTAGAACAACAAGTGTTGCATCATTTTTTTTTCCATTATCACTATTTCCATTATCATTACTATCACCACCATTGTTGTTACTTTTAACTTTTCTGCTAAATCTAAGTTTTCTTTTTGCTGATTTTTTTGTTGCTGGATCTTTTGGAGGGGGTGCGGTTTCCCATAAAAATTCACCGTCAGTAACTCTGACCGCAAAGTCATTACTTTCAACAATTTTTGGTAAAGAATCCAATTCATCAGCAAGCAATAAACTTTGAATACGAGAAAGCGCTACTAAAGCGTCAGCGATCGAAGCCATTATCATTGGTATAAACATTAATGGTATACGAATTACATTGAATAGAGCTAATGAAGAAAATATTATAGGAGCATTAAGAACTCCACCAGTCAAAGAGTAAGTAATAAACGCGAGCATGCTGGCAAAAACAGGAACAACCAATGACACAGACATAATACCAGCTCTTACAGTTAATAATAGTCTAATATAACGTATCTCTTTGATCCTCAATTTATTTAAAGCATCCAAAAAACTATCTTCCCATGCATAATATTTAATAACTCTAATGCCTTGTAAAACTTCTTGAGTTAACTTAACACGTTCATCAGTGACCTTTGCAGCTTTAGCACGAAGCGTAGTCAATGATTTCATAATATAACCTTGTAGAGGACCCATAACAATCAATAAACCAAATCCAGCCAAGGCTGAAGGACCAAGATTTTTTATCAATAAACCTAAAGCGATAGCCAACATTATAGGAGCAGTCCACGCAACATGAAAATAGCCACATACAAAATCAATTCTAAATGTGTCAGTGGACATTAAATTTGTGATTTTACCAGCTGTAAAATCACTACGTGCTTTGCCACTTAATACAATAGCTTTACGATAAATAGAGGCTATCAAACTAGTTCTAACAAAAAATCCAGTCTCCATTGCACGAAAAAAAAACGTATTATGAAGGAAAGTTGTACCAAATTGCATAACAAAGAGTGTTATAATTAATCCATAACCGTATGCCGCTGAATCTTGCCCCTCTGCATTATAATACGATTTACTTGCATAACTAATAATTTCCTATTAATTGAAAACTAGGTATTAATAAAGTAACATAGTAAATTTATATATATTCATGTGATATGCCAGTGCTCACGTGAATCACGAAAATAAATCGACCTATTAATTACCTGTATTATTAAGGGAGAAGTCACTTGCAACATATCACCAAAAAATCTACAAAAACCAGCAATCCAAAATTTCCAAAAAAAAGTACGATTCAATGCACGTATTAAGGAAGGCTTTTTATCACTGCCTGTTTTTTCTAGCTCCTTTTGCCATTCTTTTTCAAATCTATCGCAAACATTTTTGGTTAAACGTTCATCGTTTAACGTGTATAAATCTTCCTTTTCCAAAGGTCTTTGATAACCAAGTTTTATTAAGTCTCCAGACCACCAGAAAGTTAATTTTGATAGAAAATTAGCATTATATTCTGGGATTAAGGTATCTGGTTTTGGTTCCGGTGGCGATTTAGATTTAAAAAAGTTCATATTTTTTTTATTCAAAAATTTACATGCATATATATTTATTAAATAAATCGTCAAAAAAAAATTTAAAAAAAAAAGAAAACATCAAGTATTTATTGAATCAGGAAAAAAATACTGATTGTTTTTTTTGGATAAATTTTTATCCACTATTATTACGTGTCACCTAAACCTAAATTCGCTTTTATAAATACGTAATGTGTAATAAGAGGCGCAGAATAATTAAAAATGAAGTAATAAATAAGTAATTATGCGATTACTAATTCTCATTCTCAATTAAATATAATACAAAAAAGAAAGAGCTTCGTATTGCATGCCTAATATTTGATTTCAAGTCAATTGACTTTAATGGCTTTCACCATCATCACCATCACCATCAAATAAAGAAAATCTTCTGCTAAAGTCCCTCGAGTTGATTGATGGTGTAAAATTTATCATTAAAATTGAAGCCTTCCATTGATTTTCTATTTTCTACCGTCTTTTCAAAATAGATAGTCGAGTTATTTTACTATTGATTACAAGTTTTATCTTCTTATACTATGATTAGGGTAAATATAGATAGTGATTGTTTTATTAATTATTATTACATTCGTCCGGCGGATATTAATATCCGGATCCCAATAAACATACTAATACGGAATTTATACGGAATTAATTGATACTAATACTAATACAGAGTACAATGTTACATTATTGGGTTGTCTGATTATCCGTATTTTTTTTGTATTTGTAATCTGCGTATTTTTATTTTCTTATTGTTATTATTATTATTATTATTAAAATTAATTTGTATATATGTCCGTCCACCCGCATTTCGATTTGAATTTTTGTGTAATGTCGCAAATGCCAAGAATTAGGATTTCCCGGATAGGAAATTTATATTATTTATATACTGTTGTGATCGAGAACACCAAAGAATATATTATTTGTTTATTTATAATACTACATTGATTAGAAGTAAAAAAAGAAGATTCTGATCATTCTCCGTATTCATCTTCCGACTTTTGCTTCGGATGAAAAGCATTGGATTTGATGGTAACGTTTAAAACTCTTTGGTTCTGTTGTGCATGAAAATTAAATCTACAACAGTTCCAAATTGACGAAAAACTATTTAAACAAGATATATCTATTTTTTCATATATAATGGACGACAAACGAAAAAAATATTCAAAATTATATAAATTTCTCAATTAGTTCAGAAATACTGCAAGTTCTAAACATCTCAAATGTGAGTTTAGCATTGTATTGTGTGATTCTTTGATAAGACTTGCCTTTTATCTAGATCGTTGAATCACATATTTTTGCTACTTTAACATTTTATAGGGGAATTCATAAAAGTATTGCAATTGAAGTTTTGAGATCAATGAGATCAATGCAAATATATAAACATTTGTTCTTAATAGCGGGTATCGTAATTACCTTTTACTTTTGACATTGCAATACCTTTAGCTTTTTGACATCAGCGAGACCATTTAGGCTGTATGTGCATCTCTGCTTCGACAACTAAACAATAAGAAATTGGTGCTGTTACTTCAGAACTTCAAGTAGAGAAAATTAGAAATTAAAAAAAGTTAACGAATCAGAACAAGAGAAAAAGAATGCTTATTATTTAAATATTGGTTATCAATTACTAGGTTATTAATTAACGTTGGCTTAAATTATCAATTATCAAATGGTTAGAACATTTAAATTGGATTAAAGGAAACTATTCCCAAAGTGAAAATATTATCTGGGAACTTTATAAAACAGGAATGATCACTTTGCAGCAGGGCATAAATTGACTTTTCCAAAATTGTCAATAATGATTTTTTTCTGCGGTAAATGTAGTGAATATAATAGTATTTTTCATTCTATATGGTAAATATGGTAAATATTAATTCATAATAGATAATATTAAAGTTTAAAAAGGTTATATTGATTTGTATATATGGCTTTTTTATAATAATTTTTTTCAGAAAGGCCCATCGTGCTTTATCAATTTCGAGTTAATGTCTATATGTGATTTGTTTTAAAGAACTTTGTTAGTAATACTTGGCTTAATAAATTTTAGAGATATTTTCTGTAAAGACACTAGTCAAATGCATCCCATATTGTTTAGTAATCAATGAAAAGAATTAATGGTATAGAAACAAGGTAAACTTTATTTTTATTCAATATATTTAATAATTTTAATAAATAGATGAAAAATAAATCAGTTAAAAAAACAAGTAGATCAAGAAAACCTGTTTGGCAACATTTCACTGGTAGCTTTAATAATAAATAATGGTAAGCGTTCCGGTATGAAATGCAATTATTATAGTCAACAATGAGCCTGTGTGAAAATCTCAGATGTGGTTTCACATATTGTACTAAATCTTTACCACCTGGCACTCAACAAAATAATGAGTTAGCAAGGATGATGATAATTAACAAACAAAAAAATGTCTTCCAGGAACTATCATTGCATTTGGCTAAAGAGGATGCATATTGCATTCTCTTTACCAAAGAACTCGAAGCGGGTATGAAACGGGTGAATGAGTACTATGATGCGGATCATCTAAAGACATCAAAAAAAAAATCGTGCAACTTCAATGCCACCAGTTTTTTTATTTTTGGTTTGAAGCTACACGATGATCTTTCTCAATTTAGAAAAGACGTCAGTAGCACGTGACCAGAACACTATATAATTTTTATGTATCAAATAAATAATAACACGATTGGGTTTCTATTCGTCATACAAGTTCTTATTCGAATTATTCATTTTATTCGTTTCTTTGAATTTATTCGTTCATTCGAATTTATTCGTTCCTTCGAATTATTCGTTCCCCCGAATTATTTGTTTTATTGGTTTTATTCGTTTATCCGTTTATTCGAATAAACCTTCAATGTAATTCTAATACTAATACTCAACTCCATAATAATAACGAATAAAACAATAAATCCGAATAAACCTTATTCCTAATACCAGTCACAGGACATGTCACACGACCAGGGCTGGAAATAGTACTTTAAAAATCAGGATTTAAAATTTTAGAACTTCCGGAAAAAAAGAGTTGCCGGATATTTTTCCTTTTTTATTTTTATTTTTTTATTTTATTTTTTTTTGTGCAGATTTTTCATTACTTCAATATTTTAGAAAAGAACCATTATTTGTATCTTTTGAATTTTCAGAAGAAAAGTATTGACTCAATTTAAGTCTTATTTCACTGCTATTAAATTATTAAATTTAAAAATATATACACTTTAAAATATGAATTTATGTATATTTGTTTTCCCTTATTTCAAAAAAGTAAATAGTATAGAGCAAGAAGAATTAGATAATTTGACTACTGAAATTTGGAATGAAGCATTTATAAATGAAACAAATATTGATGAATCAGATATAGAAGGTTAGATGATTTGACAATTCAAGGTTCAGATGATGATGATACTTCAAAAAAATCAAATAAAAAAAAGAAAAAATTGTGGATTAAGTGTAAACCATATTAAAATGTCAAATAAAAAAGTGCATTTTAAAAATTAGGAAGTTTTCAGTGTGAATGGCTAACATATATAAATGGTTAAAATATGATGCAGCAATGAAGAGAATGTTTTGCACAATTTGTAAAGTACATGGGGAAAAAAATCAATTTGCAGGAAAATGTGCATTTATTAATTTACTAATATTATTTAGGATCAAAGAATGCTTCAAAATCTACTGCTCTAGTAACTTATGCACTTTCAAACCAACATAAAGATGCTTTGCTTCCAGAAAAGGCAAGCACAACCATGCAATATTCTTCAAAAAAAAAAAGCCATTAATAATGGTAACAAACATATTATTAATATTTACTGGATGGCAAAAGAAAATATTCCAATTTCCAAATTTCCAAGTCTTATTTATATCTTAAAACTTATGGAAATAGTGCACTCAATTCCATTTTCTAGTGTAGATTGTGAAAGAGGTTTTAGCAAACAGAATATTATCAAATGTAATGCAATGGAAAATGGCACATTGCACTTATTAATTATGGTTGATTTCAAAGTTACTGATTTATTTGATTATGTTTTAGTGATGCTCTTAGTAAAAAACAGAAGAATAAAATAAAGAAAGTTCTTAAATTTGATTTAAATTTTCATCCAGAAAATTTTTAGCATTCAGGAGAAATTTCCGTTTTTTTTCAGACCCTATTTCCAGCCCTGCACATGACTAATGAATGACTGAGTCATGTGAATTTATAATACTGTGGCACCAAAGAATATCATTGCTATTTTTGTATTTGAAAATTTTGACAGTCGGCACAGTATTTGATGTCTAGATGGTGTGTGCACTATATCACATAGGATCAAAAATAATCAATAGCATATGGAATGTAGAGGTCCAATATTATGATGCTAACTCAATAGGCATCTTTACCAGATTAGCACAAAATAGTTCAAAGTGTATCTAATTACTATCTCTAATCCATAAGAGCAAGTGTTGTTATATAAAATGATCAAGTCTATTTTTTTGATAATGATTCAAAACCTACAAGAGGACTTACCCATCAGAAATAAATTGCACAAGTAACTAAGATCATAGTTATTGCTCCAAAATTAAATGACCTCCTGTCTTTACAAATAAAAAAAAGAGGTCTGTATGTTGTTGTATAAAAGTGATCAAGTTTATTTTTTGACAACAAATCAAAGACCTGCATTGCATGAAATACAGTATGTCAGCTTTCCGAGATCCTATCTATTAGAAATACTGTATTTCACACAAATAATGCAAATAAATTATGAATAGTGTAGTGTATGTAATCCACTCCAAAAGTATAAATTCAATTTTATTTTTCTTCTCAATTAATTAGGTAATGCCATCAGGATAACACAATAACAAAAGCAAATAAAAACACATATCTCAATACCTTCTTTTGGAAACAAATTGCTACTTATATAAGCTTCACCAGTGTAATATTTTAAGAAAGAAAGAAATTAAATTAATTAATGATTATCATAATATTGCATCTGTAAAGAAAGATGTTGTTAATTCTGCTAAATATGGGAAC